CCTTCCCCTTGGCTCTCAAGGGGAAGGGGTGAAAACATGCTCCTAAGAAACGAGACACCACTCTATTCCCGCTACGTCATCATGCCTTGCCATTTGCAGTGAATTTGTCACCCCAGTCTGACATCAGTGTAGCCATCAATAACTATGGCTTTGTCAGCTAGCTCGTCATAAAGCGCGATTTTAAGACGCAAACAATTCAAAACATCTCTAATATAAATGTGTAATAGCAAAGGATTGAATATCTGATTTTTAAAAGTGTCATTACTATGTAAATCATATCAGAATCCTACCCCTTGCATTCAAGTGATGTCCCGGTTTGTCTTCATTTAAAGGACTGTGTACCCCTTTCCCTTAGCCTTTCTCCTTGACCTTATGACGAATTGGGACACCCCCTTCGCTTGACATGAACGTGTAAAACCAGGGGCTAAGGGTTAAAATCAGGAGTGGCTCTTAGTCCATTTCCTCACAGACTGTGGTTTAACCCCCTTTTATTTGTTTCTGCTGCATTGCCATCATTAAATATAAACTCTAGTCCTACAGTTATCATGACCTCGACATGACTGAGACAATCATTTTACTGCCTGAATCCCCTCTCCGGGTGCAGTATCACTATATTCTATTAGTAAAACATTTTCTCCTCCATATATACAGGATTTAGGATAAGTAACCTCATTATTAGTTACAGAGTGTACAGTCCTCACTGTGTGCTTTGATGTCTGTTGGATAAATTTAAGACACTTGAATATTTGGAACAAATCTGTGCGTCTCACACAAACATACGATTAAGAACCTGCTGTGAAACTGAATTTTATGTATATCTTATAGCTCTTTTGAGGATTTTCTTTGTGTTTATATTAAAAGATAAACTTACATTTATACTGATTTTCCAACAGTTAACAAGACCGTCAGGGACAAGATTGGCAATTCATATGTTGTCCTTTTTTAATGCTTGAAAACAGTGCGAGGAGGTCAATGTTGGCAAAGCGGCTAAAGAAGCAGACCTGCTTTATTTTCCCATTTTCATAGAATTAAATGTTTTGTGAGACTTAATTAAAAATTCAATACAGACTCATTATATCCATCCATAACAGTGCCACTCATTCTCGCTCATGTCAGTGAGAAATCATTGATACTGAATCCAGACGATGACATTTTGAATACAGTCTGTATTATGTTATATTCTGAAGAAGGAACATATCGGTTTGTTTTGACAGCAGCAGTCTTTGAATTAGTTTAGACTTTTTTCTTGGCCCCACTTGTTGATGTGATTGTCAATGATCTGACGTTGAGTAATCCCATTATTGTTGGAGCTGTTGTCATTTCAATGAGTCCAGACTCTTTTTTAAGAAAGTTTGTCCCATCTTTTCTCCAGACACAGACAGATCATGCATTTGTTGTGAGCAAGACAGAAAGGAAAATAAAAAGCCAAGATTCTCACAATCAAAACAACAATTTTGAATTCCTGGCTGGATTTTCTGTTTTTTTTTTATATGAAAAACATTCTTTGTAGCTATAATTGAATTCCTTCTAAGCAAAACCCAAGATCTACTGAGTACAAAAAAACTCTCTGAAGACTTGAAAAGTGGCTTTGTAGTGTGGCGTTGCGTCTTAACAGAGATATGAGGCGGTGGGTTTCCTGGATTGACAGTAGCTCCGTGGATTTTGAAAGCCGAGTTTGACTGAGAAAAGGAGTACCAAAATCTTTTTCAAAACCAGTTCTCAAATCACGCAGCAGTCGTCATGAAATCTGCATGGTAGAAGCGGACGCATTCAGCGATTTCCTTGCTAAATAGTTTACCTCGTAACATTTACACTATGAAATAAAGGCTTGAACCTCATTAACTCCTTTCACAGACAGGCCATTGTGAAGTACAGTAATATGATACATGATAATCTGAACTTTCATTCATTAGGCTCCTCTTTGTTCGGTATGAAATGACCTTTACTACTTTTGCTTGTGGTTGGAGAAAACAGCAGTTACGTAAGATTACCCGACTGGTGTTTTTTTAAAGCCTGTCTCGCTGTATTAGACTCCCACTGCCACAGACGATGGGCTAACTGTACAAATAGCAGTGTTATTACTATTTTTTAAAGTGCTCAAGTGTCTTTGGGACCAACTCGAACATATGCCCCAGTATTTTTCAGTACAGTTAAAAGTTTTCATCCCAAAAGTTGCATTTCCTCTGAGTTTAAATTCTCTCAAATGAACCATGATTTTTTCCCCCGTGTTGTTTTGCCCTATTAGTACATCAACTAAGTCAGGTTGTCGTTGCGCTCCACATGTTCCTGGTGACAGAGGAGTGTAAGCTTCAGGGTGCAGCAGTTCTCTGTCTCTGTTAATTATTTTAAATCTCATGATGCAGCTAAAGGCCTGTTCAGGCATCACTGACTGGTCTGGCTGCAATCTACTAATTGAGCATTTAAAACAGCAGATTGCCGTTTCTGCATGTTTTCGTTCATTTATTATGCATCACATTCACTCAACATTACTGCCAACCAATTCCCCCTTTATGGCTGGATTTCAACTTCTTAATTTTCCTTCCTTGACTATCTTTTTATTTAATTTGTGTCAGTCAGAGTTTCCTTTCATGTAAAATGCATTTTGAGACTTGAGGGCATCCTCCGTGAGCAAAATATCCCACTCATAATGCTTTTAGATATTCCTGGTTATTGTTTTCTTCCAAGCCATAACTTTTAAAATTCATAAAAAGGAACATAGTTTTAAGTTTCTGAGTCTCCGGAGGGGTTCTTAAGTGGTGCTTAAGTTTAGAGAATTCTCTAAATTGAAGAATTAACCATCACTTTTCAGGTAAACTGCAGAAAGTTGACTAAACTCAACCCACAGAATGAATTCTCAATCACCTGGGATTCTTATATTGCATAAACTTGTCTGAATTATGATGTAATTCCAGAGATACTAAAACTTCTCCAAAGAGCAAGATGGTAGACTCGGGATTCAACAGTTTGTAGCGGTAAAGTTGATGATATGAAGGTCTTACCTGACTTCTCCCCTGAGGTGTGAGCAGACTGTTAGAGGCGACTGAAAGCACTGGAGCGTTCTTTCAGTGGACTCGAGGTTCATGGAGTCTCTGGGGGAGTAAGTCGATGTAGAGCAGACCGTGCTCTTTCTCCTTTATCAAGAAAGAAACGACTGAAAAAACACTGGCCTGGACAAAGTCATCTGAAATGCGAGGATGGAATATGAATATTGTAATTTTCAAACTTTCCAAGTGGTGTGAGGCTTAGTTGGACGTTTTGGATGACTCTGGATACAATACGATACAATACAAGAGAATATAATACATTATAGGACCAGGGGATAAACAGAAAATTTACCAATAACGAAAGTTACGACAATAACAGACGTCATTTTGCCCATGTCAATATATTTGGTGTCAAAATAAATAAAAGTTGGTTTTGGGTGTGTGTAGGTAGGCTAAGGTATCATACCCCTTTAAGATGCTGTCCTACATCAGAGGCGTGACTCCACCCCATCCAGTCTGTAACAAAGAGGGAAAGACAGGTGAGGAGTAGATGCAGCTGAAATAGACTAAGTTGATGTGGGAGGGGGTGAGCGGCTTGTGGAGTAGTTATCGTCCATTTATCATTATTGAGGTGAACTGATCAATATATTGTGACATTGATTTGACGCCATATCGCCCAGCCCTAATACATTACAATCCAGTATGATGTGATTACATTCATGGCTCGCTGTATTGGGACATCATCAAGATGTCAGGAAGTTTATCTACTGCTGTATTTATATTCTTCCCCAACCCTAGCAAGTCCACCCTAAACCTCTTTCACAAAACCTCTTTTTGTCATGTTTCAAATCTGTAAACAAAGCTGTTGCTGCAAATAGAGGACATGGAGAAAATAATTCATTTCTCAAGAAACAGAACAAATTTATTCCCTCTTCTTGTATGCAGATGTCTGTTTGGACACATGAGACTGACAGGTCAGATTTGGCCGGTTCTCCCTCACTAACTATCATCACTGGGCATGGTTGGGTGGTAAATGTTACCACCACAGCTCAAGTCATCCAAAACGTTGTGCATCTGTTTAGGGATTGCTGTTTTTTTTTAGCTCCTAAATGCTAAATCGAAGTGAAAATGAGCTGTAATCACTCGGCTGCCTGCTCACGGACTTGATAAAGGGTTTAAGCTGCACATTGATTTACTTATTTGTCATATTTGGGTGAAAAGTGGGAGCCAAAGTGAGGGGCAGCTACTGTGCAGATCACTAACTAAACATCATATTAGTATGGGACATTTGTATTTAAAGGTAGCTTTGCTTTGACCCTGCAGGAAAAGGTTTGCTGTGGATAAATTATACATGTTTTTCTCTCTTAAAAAGCACAACCTGTGGTGTCTGTACATCATTTCAACTCCAAATCTGTAGTTAAAAGATTAAAAGGTCTTGACTATGCTTTTAAACTTTCAAAAAGCTGTCATCGTACGTTTAAAAGGCAGTGTTTCAGATCTTTACTGCACTTGGATTAGACCTTGTGACAGGGGTCTTGGTTAAACTCCTCCTGTCTGGGTTATCAGTCTCTGACAGCTCTCTGATTGCTGCTGCCGTCACAGGAGCATGCATCACACACTTGTCAAAGCGCCCTCTCCTCCGCCCACTGCCTTTTTCCACTGAAAGCCAACACCACAGTCTCATCACACATATATTTACGTGCCCGCAGACCCGGGCACATGCGCACACTTGCAATACACATATCCAGACGCCGTCCCCAGTACGGTGACAAATCCTGCCTGAGCTGGCTCCCATCTGTGAGTCACGGCGTGGTGGTGTGTTTGTACGAGTCAAACTCCCCCGTCATCTGCCTCTCACAGATGGATCTGCAGGGTGTCCGAGGGGGCCGTGTCTGGTGGCCACGATCAGAGGGACGCTTTGGATTCAAACCCTCCCCTGATCCGGATCAAGAAGAGACTCAAATTTCAAAAAGCTTTGAGGTGTAAAAGAGGCCAATCTCCAACAAAAGGGTCAAGTTAATCATCATGGCTCGGCTGGGTTTAATCCATAAAACCGTGACTTTGCCCTTACATAGCTTGCCTGGCTCAATCTGTGCACTGATCCCATTTTCCTTGTATACATATCCGTTCTTTCACCCTGGCTCCTTTTTTTGCCCATAATGGGATTAACTGGAGTGACACCAATCTGAGATCTCGCTTTAAACTCTGCGGGGTGAATCTTATTCCTCTGGTTATTCCCATGAGGGATAAAACATGGCTTGGATAACATAATTAGATTCCTCTCCGCAGCCTCAATGTAAGTGATGACAAATTAATGGTAAACAGAGCAGTGGACGCTCTTCTTATTAGCAGCGGGCCCTGGTCCAGATGCCTTCAGGAACATAAAAAAACAGACAAACTTGTTAATTGACGTGTCCATAAGAATGTGTTGACAGTGCTGTCATAAATAATAAGTTCATTGCAGCATAACGCCACTTTATCTAGCAAACACTGTTGCATCCAGCTATTATCTATTCTAGCAATAAAGCTCAAATAGGTTTCCTCCGCTCCTACACTTAAAAGAAAATACATCCAAAGTACCAATAACTTCAGAAACACGGCGATCAACAAAGCTTATTATCCAGCTCCTTTTTCCGCCCTGTAATAAAATCAACATGGAACAATTGACCTTGGCGGAACAAAAGCCCTTCCACTCTTCTCTGCCTCATTCTGGTGGTGCAACAAGACATTAGAGAGCTGTTTCATCACTCGACTCTCATTCCTCCAACAGTCGTTAACAGTCAACAATAATGTTGTTGTTTTTATTATTATTTTTTTTTTATCTCGGTGGTCCAAGGCCGCTTAATACAAGGCCATCTAGTTCAGATTTATGCAACTAAAGCGTATGTTGTTTGTGATCAATGTGAGGAATTTAATGAACTGTTACAAACCACATTTGACCTCGTTTATGTCAATGTGCCTGAAGGGTTTTCATCATCCTCCACAGATGTTTTTATTTCTTAGAAGAAGCCATGACTTAACATTGATTTTATCATTTCGTTTGAAATTCATTCATCCATATGCAGAATCCGCAGCATTGCTTTATAGTCAAAATATCCCAGCTTGCATTTCTCCGGTTGTTGGATTAATGACTTCTAATGTTTTAATGCTCTTGAATTGACCTATAAATTCATTCAAACTGTGTTTTATTAATTGACTCCAGTCACCTTTCCCTTGTGCTAACATCACATTTACATAAAAATAATGAAGCAGCGCAGGGACCGGCTCTAAAGACATTTGCAGAGCAGCTACATAAAGAGAAAATGCATTGCAAGGTTGCATCAGTTTTTTTTCCTCCTTTGTTGCTACAAAGTAAATAAAAAACAGAAAATGGCACAAGAGCTTTGAAGAGAAGGGTGAATGTACAGTGAATGTTTTCTCGAGGAACTTTAGGATGCTTAGGTTACTGTTGATGATCAATTTATTGTTAAGTGCCGATTCTCAAAAGGAACTTCTTAGCAGGTCTGGATCGTACTTAGGAGTTGTCAAGGTTACAAAATCAGCAAATCAGAGGCACCGACAGGCGATCACTCTGTGGCTATTTGGAGGCTAAAGGTCAGACTCTGGAAGGATGATGGAAAGTTGGGTTGAGTCAGCATTACCAATATGGCGACCATCGCAGATAGGCTTCAAAACTGCAACACAGATAAATGACTTTGCTACATCATTTAGCTTAGCTAAGTATAGTTTAGTTAAGTTCAGCTTGGCTTAGTTTATCTTAGTTTATCTTAGCTTAGTTCAGTTTAGCTTAGTTCAGTTTAGTTTATACTAAAGCAATTCATTTGGCCAGTAGATGATAAATTTATAAAATGGTTCGTCTATAACTTGTCAGGTATAAAACATGTTTTACTTTTCTGGCCTTTATAGACGAACCGTTTTATAAATTTATCTCAATTTAGTTTCATTAACAGGGAAAGTGTATGATGGTATCAATCATTTATACAAAGACGAATGGTTGAAAAAATGCTTGCACCACATTGAGCAAGCGGTAAATTTCCACCTATAGTTCCACATTACAGTGACACAAGACATACATTAAAACCCACTCAACTGAAGAACAGAAAAAAGAGACAACCTAACAACACAAACATGACCTATACTATTAAGTGCACTACAGAGGACAAACACTGTGCATTGTCCTCTGCAAAGTGGTAATGGTTGTTTCTTATCTTATTTATGAGGCCAGCTAACCATTATGTGTTGTAGCTTTGTACAGAACAGAAAGTCCCAACTGTGTTTATACCAGTCTGCTGAAAAGAGTCCGATTGACTTTGGTTTGTTGTTTGGTGTGGGAAAAAAGAAAAGACACAAACAGGAGAGAGAAAAAAAAAGCTAAAGAGGAAAAAAAACAGACTGAAAAATATACAAAACTGAAAAAGAAGTAAACACTTTCCAGAACAGGGCGTGGGACAGGATACTGCAACGTTTAAGGTCTGAGAAATGGAAAATAGAAGGTAACAGGGTCTGACTGTGACGGCCTTCGCATCAGGATCCCTAACGTGGAACTTAATATGCACTCACTATACATTATCCATGCATTTTAGAAATCATTCATCAACAATCCAGATATTGAATTGCTTTAGATGTTAAAAAATAGATGTTAAAAAATAATTAATAAACCGCCTGTGTCCCAGATATTCTGCAGCTATTACAGCTCTGTGACAACCTGACGTCCTAAAAGTTCCACTCAATAATCAGTAAATGATTCATCCTCCATTAACAAGCCCATTATTTACCACTTTACAAAGGGCGATGAGTTAGAGAGGCAGCACCAATATACTGTATTTATTTTCCACTCTCTCTTCATTTTATAAAAGGCGAGCTGACTCCACCTGCCCTCCAGGGCGCCACAACTTGATTGACATTTCTTAGCAATTTCTCAGCAAACAGTCTGTTTGACTGGAGGCCTCATTTCATTGCAGCCTCCTTGCCTTTCTTTTCAACCCCTCCTGAGGATCTGGTGGATGGTGCTGAGAGAACATGTGGCCTGTAATGTCATTTACCCATGCAGACACATGCTCATATTTTTTTCTCCTTTTTCTCCAGCTGTCTTTAATTTTTATCAGGCACAGATGTTCTGAACAGAGCCCGGTTCAATATTTTATTGTGGAGAATTAAAAGTAGGACATGTGTATTTTCTTCTTTTCTTTTTTTTTTTTCTTCACCTCAACAACATCATTATGTAACAGGGAGCGTTTTAAAGGGTTTCAACTCTTTATTGACCTTCAGAGAACAAAAACTATACAGGGATGCTTGGCAGGAGCTCCGCTTATGCATGCTTATACAAACACGTAAGCTGTGAGAGAAGAAAAACATTTATTGTCCCTGCAGAAAAAGCTTGCAGAACACAGTTTTTATGGCATTTCTATCAAAGCATTTCCAAATTTATCTTAATGGAAATCTGCAGCTTTTTGAGCACAGGGGCTTGTGCTGCATTAGTATGGAACAGACATAAGAGCGATGATAAATAAATCAGCTGAGTAACACATCCAGCTGTAAAGAGGAGACAAATGAAAATGCTTTTAACAAGCTTCTGTGTGCTCATTATATCTGTTATCAGTGATACCTTTTTTTATCCCAATCCCTTTGAACCTGACTCATGTTTTAACAGTGTCACTGACATATGGAAGCAGTCTATGGCGTGGAACAAAACGGCTCTGGCGTCCATGGTGTCTAATTCTGATTCACGAAAAAAGAGAGAGCCGTGTTAAGGATGTTAGGCTTTAAAGAGTTGTCTTTTTCACGGGATTATCTGCGAAGGAGGAAGTCAGTATTCAGACGCAGCTGACTGGCACGGCAAGATCAGCTCGCATCCAAGTAGAACACTTCTTCAGGCATGCAAAACATGCAGACTTAAGTCACATAATCCCTTCAAATATCAGCAGGATGTCAATACGCTGACATGAATGGATTGGATGCATCAGTGTTGCAGCCTTGCTGTTGTTTCTGATCAGTGTTTGCATTGGGAGTTGGCAGGTTGCTATTATTAGCCACAGCAGTGATATAAACGTTGCTGTGGATCCTCTGACAATATGATGACAAAACATATTTAGACCATTGCTGAAATGCTGTCCTGTCTAATAAAATGTCATCAAGAGGATTCCAGGCTGAGTTTTATTCTTTGTACCCCAGTGTTGTGGCATTTATGAGGCCGGCAGATATTGGAGTAAATAATTGGACACACAAAGCTAACACTCGAGCACATCTCAGGGGCTAAACAAACAATGGCTCTCTGTGCATTTGGTGCCCGAATGAGGCTGTAACTGAGGATCATAACAGGGCTTTTCTGGTGTTTTGGAGAAGCACTGTTCTCTCAGCGTGACTAAGCAAGGCTGTCCGAGTCCAGCTGACCATGACTGTCTGAGGGAGAGCTCTGAAAACAAACGCTTTCAGGCTAAGTGTTGACGAATCACATTCAGATGTTGCTAAATGCTTTTTATCATGCTGCAAAGCATTTGGAAATCCTACAATGAGCATGTTGGAAATGGCTTTGTGCAGCAAGTCCATTTCATGTGTTTGAGTGTGTTCTTATTTTATCCTGTCAATATTTTCCTGTGCAGCAGCAGCAGCAGCAGCAGCAGCAGCAGTGTTTCTTCTTCATGGAGCTCATTAAAGTTTCATTTAATCTCATCTTTCAGTAGCCTTTACATTCTCCTGCAGAGTCTGGACATTTTTAAAGATCGTATTGATCAGTTGAAGGTTAAAAACATTAGACATTTTAACGCTGAATCATGTTTCATATATATTTATTGAACCATCAGTTTTGAGTGAATTCTTGCAGAGGCTCATAAACAGAAGCTGAATACCAGGAAAAGACTCCAAAAAGAGAGGAAATTTGATTTTCACTTCATCCCTGTGTTATAAATGAGTTTCAATGAAAGCAGTGAACAGAGAAATCACAGTAATTAAACCACATTTTGATTTTTTTTTTTCTCGCAAGAATGAAATCCGGGTTTTTATGCAAATTGCATGGGCTGAAATTAAAGAGAGTTCAGCCATCATATGGATGATATGTTATATTCTCCATTACATTGTTCCAGATGGACAGCGCTTGTAAGAAGGTTGGAACAAAGCCAAGTTGCCATAAACTTCTTTGTGTGTTTTGACGATTTAATAAGAAGGAGACTGTTATAGTTCCCTTCCAGCTATTTGATTATAATTTGCTGTCTGGATTGGCTCGCTGTGTTTTGGATAATTTGGATATTGAAGCACTATTTCTTTTCTAACATACTAGGATAGGTTGTAATAAGCTGCAGGCTCATAAAAGACACATTAGGGTTTAAAACGATCTTCAAAATGCTTTGACTTTGTCTCTCCAGGTTACTTAAAATGAAATCTTTTTACTTTTCCAATTCTAGCGCTGACAGTGCTCGATGAGTTTCTGTCTCTCTCATCGCGCTTTGATTGGAACATCAAACGGTAAATGGTTGGTTTGATCAGCGCAGTTAATGCAGTAAGTTATTTATCAAGTTTCCTTGGTAGCAACAAGGTAAAACAGCTGCTCAGAGAAGCCACAGCCTTGGCTTCTTTTGCTACCTCTTTATGTACTGAAACCTTGAAAGGAACAAAAGATGTGCTGCTCCATTTCTCAAAGAGGGGAGTGAATGCAGGCTGCACAATTGAAGTTCAACCTTTTGTGTATCCTGACATAAATATCTATAAATTTAACCTGTTCTCTTTTATTTTTTGACATATTTATTTATTGAGCAAGCTAGTCTGTGGTTTAAAGTTTTTAGATTTCTGTCATCAATATATGGTGGGGTTTTGCCCGTAATTCCCTGCACAGCTTCTGCATGGATCTCGAGGTTGAGTCGTGACCTTTTCCAAAAGCAAGTACTGTGTTGAGTAACCAAACATGAAGTCAGAGTCGAGCCTCGAATTGCCGGTCGATGTCATGTCAGGTCAGCTACGTTATCAACAGTCCAGGTAAATTTGTTATCTGTTCGAGTTCGAGCTTCGCCTCGACTTCTTCTTAGTTTTTCTTTTTATTTATCAAACATGATTCACTCCTCTATTGCTTGCATTCTGCTGGAACATCTCTGAAAGCGAAACCTCAGATTTAAGCACCTCTTCAGTTATCCTGGCAGGAGCCGTGGCTGAATAAAACAGCACATGGACACATACCAGCCCTCGCTCCAAACTAGATGAACTATCTGGACCTTGTACAAATAGCAAATACAGTCTGTATCAATAAACAAGCCAGAGTGCCACTCTCCATTTCCAAAGTCCTAATGCACTCAGTCCTTGAGTCTGAGTCGAAGTCGGAGTCCTGAAATCAGGACTCAGACAGAGATGTATGCAGTAATCGTAAACTATGCAGGTTTCTTTATGAGGCAGTAATCATTTGACACGGCTCTACTCCCTGTTTCTTTGCTTTTCTTATCACCGAGGCTCATGTATGTTTAAACCGCACAAATTAATCATTGATCGACGTGCCGACTTTGAGTAATAACACCTGTGGTAACACCGAGTCTGGATTTAACAGGGAAATTTGATATAGAGCCTGAACGAAAGTATTCATGCCAATGCTTTAGGGATGCTTTAGGGCATTTCTGCATCTCTTTTCCGGGAAACTTTTGAATGGAAATGGAAAAGGAGCACTCCCCTAGAATCACAACAAATGTAGAGTGTGGAACAGAGAGAGAGAGGCCCTGTCTAGAGGGCTTTGTAAACCTGACAAAATTCATACCTGTGCAGAGTTTAAGTCATGAAAAGCCGGAGTTTAGTGGATGTGAATGCTGCTGCTTGGTTAGCGAGTACAGAGGCTTCAATTACAGTGTACTGAGACCCCTGTGGTGAAAGAAAAAGGCACATGTATGATTAAGAGAAACGGAGTATTGCATCAGGAACAGGCAGGAGAAATAAACCTCATTTTATTGACAGCACTTTGTTGTATTCAGAACCTTGGATGCACAAGGTTTGAGTGTTTGGTTCAGACCTGCACATTTGCATGGAAAGAATGATGAATTTGAGTGTCTCCTCGAACACAAATTTAATTTAAACAGGGACACGATGTACCCTCCGAAGAATATTTGGAGTGCTGTATAATCGTATTTG